CCAGTGGGGTGGCCGCTGGGGCTCCCTCGAGCCATGTCTCCTGAGAGCAGAGTCCTCGTGCACTGCCCAGCGGCCCCCTGGGAACGGGCCACGCCAACTTCCAGTGGGCAGTGGCCTCTGTCACCTGTCCCGGGCCTGCACTTGCACCCTCCTGTCCTACCGGAGCCTCCTGAGTCCTGCCACCCGCAGCCCTGGCTGGTGTGGACTCACCCAGGGACAAGCCGAGGCCCACTCCCCCGGGCCAGCGGCCTGTGCTGCCCCCTCGCCCGCCGTCTGTCCAGCCTGACTCCCACAGCTTTTGACCCAGCCCCAGCGAGCTCGGGTCCTCGGCCTCTGCCTCACTCTGGCGCCTCCGGCAGGACCACCACCTGCGCCCCGGTCCAGGGCTGGCTCAGCGCAGGGGTGGCGGGGCCGCAGCACCAGAAGTGGCGGCAGCTCGGCCCTGGCCCGCCCAGCCCAGGCGGCCACCCTCGTGCCTTACTGAGGAGCGCGGGCAGACGCGCTCCTTCCCCGTCTCCTGCGTGTCCGCCAGGCCCATCTGCCCTGTAGGAAGAGCCACGCGTCGTGAGGTTTCTGCAGTGCTGGGCTCCCCCCTTGAGAGAGGGTCTCACTGGGCCAGGCGCCCGTGTCGCCCCCAGTGGCAGGGACCACAGCCACGCACACCGTGCCTTCCCCACCAGCTCTGGTAGCACTGGGCCGAGCAGCAGCCCGCCGCCGGGCATGGCGCTGGCCAGGCCTGGGCACCCTACTCACCACTCCAGGACAGCGGCCACCCGCCCTGGCTTCTGCCTGGGGACACCACACCCCTGGGCTGCCCCGGGCTCCCTCGCGCCTCACTTGGGTCCTGGTGCCAGATGCGACCCGGATCCCCAGGGCCCCGGTAACGCCCCACCAGCTTCCCTCCGCGGACCAGGAAGCTGCAGCTACCCCGGTGGCGGGGACAAGGAAGGACCCTGGGCCGTAGAGCCCGCCCTGCTGTGTGCGCTCCTCCGTGAACATCCTGGAATAAACACTCTGCATTGGTGCGGGGCTGCTCCGTGGCATGGCTACAGGTACACGCGTGCACGTGGGTGTCTGCCCGTCACCTATGCACATGCAATCCCATGAGCCATGGGCACTGGCAGAGCGGAGCCAGCCTGTGGTCCGAGGCACCCCATTGCGTGCCTGCCCGGTGTCACCCAGACACCCTGCTGGAAGTTTGCCTCTGTGCAGCTGAGGTGACAGGCGCCTCCAGCACGCCCAGCCCCCACAGTGAACCTTGCTGAAGCTAGGGTGGCCGCGGGGTCCCAAGTATCCAGGCATCGGCAGCCTGGGTGGCCTCCCTGCCTCCCCATGGCTGCCGTTTCTCATTAAGCTGCTCCTCACCATGCTCAGCGCTTTTGCTTCGAAGGGCCACATGCAGGCCTAGGGGCCTCTGCAACCCAGCTGCCGGGCCGAGCCGGGGTCTGCAGTGGCGTCATCACAGGGATGCAGAACCCAGGCCCTAGGTCTCTGGGAGCAGGGCAGCCACGCAGAGAAGCCGGGTGCTGAGCCCCAGGCCCTAGGTCTCTGGGAGCAGGGTGGCCATGCAGAGAAGCCCGCTGGGCCTTAGGACCTCAGAAGAGACCTTTGCACACGTTCATCCTGGAGCAGGGAGGGCCCTTGATAAAGGGGTGAGCTGAGGGCCGGACAGTGGCACAGCAGTGACAGGACACTGCAAGGTCCGCCCACGGAGGAGGCTCTGGCTGGCGTTGGAACCCGCCGTAGATGCTTCATGCCCACGGTCCAGGCTGGCCGGGGCTGGGGCCAGGTCGCCCAGCCAGGGCCCTGTGGGGTGATTTCTCTGTCAAAGGATGATGGAAACAAGCCTGGAAAGGAGGCTTGGGGTACCCGCAGGTGACATGGCTGCTGTGAGGCTCAAGCCTTGGACCCGGTAACCGTGTGTGCACGCAGCCCGAGAACATGAGGGATTCTGCTGTGGCTATCCCCCCAGTGAAGACCTCCCTTTCCCTCTGTCCGTCTCAGGCGAGCACACACGCCCGGTAGCGAAGGCTACAAAATGAACGGGGAGAGGGCGTTAGGACACAGCACACGCCAGGGGGAGGCAGCTGTTGGGGACAGAGGCCGAGATGCACGCCATGTGTCCAAGGGCCCAGGGCCTGCCAGAGAGCCCACCCCCACCTAGGCTCGCAGGGGGCCTCGACCCTGCCCGCCTCGGCCGTCTGGCTCAGAACGGGGTGAAGTGCTGTCAGGCCCGTCTGAGGCCCATCTCTGCAGCCCTGCGAAGCTAACACGCTTGTGCGTGTGTGCACGTTTGCACGTTCAGGACAGCAGGTGCCGTGGGGACGGGCAGGCCTTCCAGCCTCTGTGTCCCCGTGGAACACCCCCCTTCCCAGCCTGGTGGCCCTCCCTCCTGTGCCACCCTCCACTCAGCAGTTGGGGACGCTTCGAATGACCACATGGTCTCTGCCCATGCCAAGGCCCCCATGGCTTCCTGTTGCTCTCCGCGCAGAATCCAGGCTCCAGCGGCCATAGCCCTCGACCACCCGGCCTCAGACACCTCCCCACCAGCAAGGAGCCCGTCAAGGCTGCAGATCAGTGCACTGAAGGCCAGGCATGCATATGCACCCACGGTCCCAGCAGCTCTGGAGCTGAGGCAGGAGGGTCATTTTTTTTTTTTTTTAAAGAATTATTTTATTTGAACAGAAAGGGATAGAGAGGGTCAGAGAGAGAAGGAAATTGAGAAAACAAGGTGCCGGGTCTGGGGCTTGAACCCCAGTCGGACAGGTGGGAACCCAGTGCCCTTGACCACCACATCACTTGCTGGACCTGAGGCTCACCTTTTTTTTAATTACTATTTTTAATTGTATTCATTATTTTATTGTTTTAAACTTGCTACAGGGCACACACATTCTGGAGAGAGCAAGCCAGCCACCAGTTAGCCACGTGGGAGTCCAGTGTCCTAGCCACCATGTGCTGCCTGTTGGCCCCAAGGATTTCCACCTCAAGGATGCCCTGGGCCACAGTGAGACCCTCCAAAAAGGGTTGGGGGTCGGCCCTGCTGCCTAGGCGGTTAAGGACTCCCACATGGCTGACCCTGGGGTTGGATCCTGGGCCTGATGGCTTCAGTGACATGCCAGGCATATGCCCACGATGCTGACGTGGAGCAAAGGGGATTGCCGGTTCTCCACACCCCTGGGGCAGAGGTGGGACCAGCCCAGGCCCTCCCCAAGTTCTCAGGACCCTGAGGCCGAGCCCCAGGAGGAAGCTGGAAAACAGAATCAGGGTCCAGCCTGTGGAGGCCCACCTCCTGGCTCGCCCCAGGTCACCCCAGACATCACCCAGAGGAGTCTGGGGGCCCCCTCCAGGACGCACGTGAAGTCCACAGTGGGAAGGCGGCGAGCCCTGTTACCACCAGCCAGCTGTCCCAGCCCACCTGCGCAGCAGCCCTGCGCTCCACTTCCGCCGGCTGGTCTGGGACTGTCTGTGCCCCAGGCTTGCAGTCATCTCCACGAGCTGAACTGGGAACTAGGACATAGGGACAGGTGTCAGAAAGTGGGGCAGGAGGGGCCACCAGAGCCCCTCGTGTCAGCATGGTGTTGCGGGACGGGGATGGGGGTCCCCACGGGCCCCTGGAACTTGCATCTGCAGGCCCGCCCCCGCCCCCTCTGCCCGTTTCCCTCGCAGCCCCAAGCGGATCAAGGACTCTCCCTCTCAGCCCACCCGTCTGTCCAGGCGTGTCCCCACCAGGCCCCTCCACCCTGTGAGGGCATCTGGGCTCGTCCCGCCCCTTTCCTTACCGCCCCCTGCACGAGGACCCTGGAGGACGCCGAGCCCCCTGGCGGCACCGCGCGCTGCGCTACGGGAGCAGGTGTCTCCCGCTCTAATAACGCCCTGGAGGCCACGGCCAGTCCCTGGACCCTCCCCCTTCCAGGCCCTCTTCTGGGGCAGGGCAGGCGTCCCGCTGGGCCCTGGAGGGCAGACAACGCATGCCGGCCCTGACCCGGCGCCTGCGGGACCCCGCGCGGGCCCGGCCCCTGCCCGTTCCGTCACGACGGCCTGGGACAGCGAGGACGCCGGCTGGGCACCGGCC